TTATTAAATATTAATATTTAGATTTAAAAAGTAATTTTATTCTAATATACAATTAATTTTAAAATCTAAATACTAATATTTAATAAGGTAAATTTTTAAATTTTGCATTAAAATTTTAGTTTTTAAATATAAATTAAGTGTCTAATTTTTTTTAAAATAAGAATTGATACGCATTAATCTTATATTGTCACGCCCCATAACTCAAATCCGAAGACGCGACAGACATCGTACATTCGTGAGACGAGTCCCACAAATGCACAAGGCTCAGAACTTAATCAATTCACATCTAATACCACCAAAATTTGAAGATCAAATTTTATAATTTGCTCTAATATCATAAAATCTCCAAATACACTCTAGTTTACAAGATTATGATTTATTTCTAGAATATATATCAATCTCGAAATGGCTAGCTCTCTAACTCGTCACTTCCCGTGATTTCTTCGTCTTCGGTTTCGCTTCCTGAAATGGTGGACAAAGAAAAACTATAAGATAACTCAGTAAGTAAATATGGATAGCCCTTAATTAAACGTATAACATGCCAACAAGTATAATCACGAAAAACGATTACAGTACGAGAACGAAATAGATGTCTCCTCTATAGGTCACAGCCAGTGTTATAAACCTCCCACTGACAGGCTACAATATTTGCTGGTGTATAATCCCCACTAGTAGGGCAACAGAAACGAACCGGTTCTATCAGTAACATGTCAACATGTGCTAGCGTTTAACCCCTACTAGCAGGGTTATCAATAACATAACCACATCGGAGACAAAACAAGCAGAAGTTAACAGAAAAATCATACTTCACCAATTACTTTTAAATCATCAAGACAATCAATTAAATTTCAAATAGGCATGCTCAATTTAATGAAAAGCATAAAAATTTCACTTCAAATCAATCAGACTTGTGTAAAATGGGTTTAGTCCCACTACCACTTTAAAACAAATCAAAATATGCTTTTAAAAACTGTATGGACATTACCATAAATTTACTTACCTCACTTGCATAACATAGAAAATTCACTCCATAAACCGAAGACTCATTTCAGTGCTAAATTGACAGAACAATCATGAACCTAATCAAAATATTCAAGGATTAATTCTATACCATCACAAATTCAAGGTGAAACTTCATTAAGATCACCCCTAATCACAATGCTATTTCTATCAATCTCCACATTTGTTCTTATATCACAAACTAAACATTTAATCCCAGTTAATTGTTGACCCTCGGTGGGTGGACAGTAAACCGTAAACAGTGCCGTGAACAGTACCTTAAACAGTAACTGCACTTCCAAAATTGGCCAAAACACTAGCTAATTCACGGGATTTTCTCCAAATATCACAGCAGTCAATTAACACTCAATCACCTAAATTTCACTTGAATTAATGCTTAAACTTTATCCTAAAGCTACCGGAATTCCCCCATTTTCCCAGCACAATTCGGACACACAATAGGGCAGCAATTAAAAGCAAATAAATGGACAAATTCGGGGGCTTGGAGGGCTGCCACATACCAGAATTCTCCAGCTAAAACCGGAGCTGCAGTTGGGGAAGTTACCGGAGGGAATTTGGAGAAGAAGCTCACGGGAAATCCACCCAAAAATTGAAGGAACAACACAAAATTAGAGTAAACCCAAGGCAATTAAAGCTGGAGAAGGGAGATTCATGGCTATTTCTTACCAAAAACCGGAGCAAAACCCACCCCACAAAGCAGGAGCAGCCGGCGGTGAAGAGGAGGAGCAGAGAAGATCCGGATTTTCCAGCAGGGGGGAGAATTTCTGGGTTCAATTTGTGTTCTAGAGCAAGAAAAGAAGGCCAAAAACCAAGCTTTCTCACCGGTTTCTCAAAGCATGGCTGGGTTCCCCTTTTTTTTTCTTCTTTCGGGTGGCTGCAACGGGAGCAGAAGAAGAGCAGGCGCGGGTCTGAGGAAGAAAAGAAAGAGAAAAAAAAGAAAAGAAGAAAAGAAGCTGATCCTTATCCAAAATCTTTCCTCTTTTAAGTTCTTCCAGTTTGGGAATGTTGGCTATTAAGCCCAAAAAAATATTTCTTTCTCAAAAAAGTCCCTAACTCACTTATTTATCCTAGAAATTTTTGGGGTATTACATATATAATAAATATTAAATAAATATATATAGTATTATAAATAAATTTTTAAATGAA